CCCCCCCCCCCAAAAAAGTATATACATTTCACAGAGCCCCAAAATAAACAGCAAAACAGAAGTAATTAACTTCCAGAAAATCAAATGCACCATTTCTCAACTATGCAGGGAGATAGACTACATACATTTTTCCAAGAGAAATCGATGATCATCCAACAAAAGATATTGAAAGGCTTGAATGTGATGTCTGTTTAATAAAAAAAATCCTAACAAATGGTTTTGTGTAAGTGAACCAAAGAAGGCAAAAAGTGCAAAGAAAAATCCTAAGACAGACTTACTTGAACGTACGGTCCTCGTAATCATGAACGTTTCGCAGGTGCAAATCCAGCTGTCGTTTCGTCGGAAAGCTCATGTTGCAGCCAGCCTCCGGACACGGCTCAGTGCACGGGCGCTCGTGGAGCTTGCGATGTGTGTTCAGGTTGTACACCGTGGTGAACTTATGGCCACATCCTGGGTGGTCGCACTGTCAGGCAAATTAACAAAATCATATACATCTCATTATATAATAATATATAACAAATAGCATTTGTATAGCACATAACCCAGCTCTACAGCAAGCTCTATGCGCTTTACATTATATTACTACACCCAGAAGACCATAGAACGACCAGAAACATTATCTCAGCTTCCCGGGAAGCATACAGTGCAAGCAGCTGATATAAATGCTCAAACATTAACTAACTGAAAAGATCTCATTATATAATAGTAATAAACTGCGTTTTATTTGCAGTCGCAAGCGATCCACTTTAATCCCAAAAAATTGAGAATTTTCGATTTTTACACCTAAAGCTCTAACAAAGATGCACCTCTCAACATCACCAAAATGCAGTTTAATGCTATGGTCAAAGCCTACCATGTTTTTTGTTTTTCATAATTCTAGATAGAAACACATCAAAAACGACTTTTTTTTGGTCTGTGGTGTAAAGAGTACCGAAACGGACTTAAATGGATTGCTTGTAGCACTGACAATTTTTACAGTGCATATTCCAGCTCAACAGCAATCTCTACCCACTTAACAATATACATTTTTACCATAGGAGACCCTAGAGCACTCAAAAACATTTTCGGGTTCCACAGAAGCATATATGCAAGCAGTCAATCAAGAGCTCAAAGACTAACAAATTGACAAAAATCTTTCGCTGTCTGAAGCTGGATACCCATTCCTACTTGAGTGAAGAGGGGAAAATTTGAGTAAAGTGCCTTTCCAAAGCAATAACCTTCCGGTTGCACGCTCAACAGCCTAACTACTAGACCACCATCTTCAAATGCAATTTAAAACTAACTGCGGCTGGACTTTTAATGTTAAGCTTAACACTTTGGACAACAAACAAAATCAAACCATCAATACTATCATGTGCCACAATCTGAAAATTTGAGAATATAATAAAGTATATGATGATCATTCTCCACACTGAAATCCCCCCTCCCCCGCCCAACAAAACAGTTGCTCCGCGTCAAAGAACTCAAAATACTTACCACAAAATCCTTGCGACCTTCATGAGAGTCCATGTGCCGTTTCAGTTTATGAGGAGTCGTGAAAGCCCATTCACATCCCAAAAGAGTGCACTGATAAAGAATATAAAAATAAAAAGGAAAATTCAATAACGTTCAATGAATGACTTCAAGAAAAAGCATAAATATATTTTTAAAACATCTTAAAAAAAACCCAACGTATGCTAATAATACAAACAGAACAGCCTCTCCCTTGTAAGTTCTACAGGCCTTGTCGTTTTTACTTTCTCTTTTCAGATTTTTATAGCCAATATGCAGATCAAAGATAGTGGGGTTAGCATGAATCCCTTTTCTGGGCTTAACTCCTAACAAAAGAAAAAGTAATAGTGAAGGAATTTGTTACACGCGATTTTTGCTGCTAACCTAGTATAAGAAACAACCAGTCTTACCTTGTATGGTCTTTCTCCTGTGTGCAGCATTTCATGAACCTTCAGCTTTGACGCTTTCTTGAAAGTCTTCATACAGCCTGGTTCTGAACACCTCAACAGTTTTTTCTGAGATTTCTGGTTTACAAAAGAAAAAAAAAAAAGATTATCACATTTTGATTGAGTGCACTGTAAATTTTAATGATGTCCTCAGAACAAAGTAGACCTCGAGCTATAAATGCATTGTTATGTGTGTATACAAATCCATCAATTACCGTTCTCCACATTTCATAGTAGATAATACAGATTTACATTTTGTCTTTCTTACAAAAATAATAATTAAAATATCAGTTGAATAAAAACTCTAAAAAAAACAAAATTTATCATTAACAAGACTGTCATAAACTGGGTGAGTGGGTGTCCCAATGAATGAAATTCAGAATTTTAACACAAGACATATCTATATAATTTTATACAACAATTTACAACGATGCAAAATTCAAAAACTACACACAGTAAAGCATGTCAGAGCACACACAACTACAGAATGAAAAAAAAACAACACCTCCAAAACAAAAACAATCCCAAGAATACTTACATTTTTATAAAATCATGATGAACAAAGAAATTTTACACTCTTCACATACTTTTAAACTGAAGGAACTCTCTACAGACCAATCTGAGGGACCCTTGTGGTCGAGAGGTTACGTTGTTCACCTCTCATTCCATAGGTCCCGGGTTCGAATCCTGACAACGACGGTCCTCCTTTCACATCCCTTCCTGCTCTTTAAAAACAATGTTCTGTCGTCTGCTTTTGTCTCCACTTTCTGCCCCCGTCCCCTCATCTCCTCTGTGCTCCTGACTCTTTCTGCAGAATTTCTATGACTTCTCCTTTGCTCCTTCTTACCGCTGTCTTTCAGTCACACCCCTGATCTTATGTTAGGTAAGATTCTACCACCTAGTCTTCTCTGATAAAAGTCGAAAAATCTAGGAGGTCCCCTGTGCAAGTTGCCCACGTTAAAGATCCCTTGGTGACTAGGTGGTCCAAAATCGATAAGAGTAGGTTTCGTCCGACACCCGGGCAAAATTCAAAATTTCCTACTGATTGAAAATATCTAGTGTCCCATGTGCTCATATGACCTTATGCAGTTGTGAGCGCCGTAAAACAATCCCCCCCCCTCCCAAAAAAAGAAGGCCAATCTGACTTAATACTACTTTTGCCCTCTGCATTTTGCGTCAAATAAAAAAAGCTGCAGCAGCATCAAAATGATATAAAAAATTACCTTCAAGTTTGCATCTTCCTCCGCACCCTGGACTGAAACAGTCTGTATAACGTTTGCCGCATTATCAACCACTGGAACAAGTATAAACCCTGCTGAGGAAAGACAGAGAAACTCATGATACACAATGTTCACAACGAGAAATAAAAGCTTCTACGATATATTATAAAAATGAATGAGAAGATATTATTGCTCCTCTCACTGGGGTCGTGGGGTTTAAGCATGGTCCATCCTTTTGCTGATCAGCAGTGAAACCTTTTGAAGTCAATTTTTTAAAGCTGAAGTGACACAAACGAGAAAAAACCCAAAACCAAACAAGACTGCATTTCATTCTGTTCAGAATTTTTGTACTCTGAACCATTTTTTGCTAAAACTCGACTGACAGCCAGTTACAGCCCCATTTGTAACGAACATGAGAAAGCCATAATTTTGGTTTTATATTTATGGTTATTGGATACCTCTCTATAGCAGCAAGCAATACGAAAAATGTTAATTGTCATTAAACATGATGTTGTACAACATTACAGTAGTTGAGAACACAGGATCAAGAAAAACGGCCATTCATTAACTTTGAAAAAAAAAGAAATGATGAGAGATTATAATGGCTATCGTCTGTACACAACAAATTCTTCAAAATATTAGAGCAGCAATGAAGGAAAAAAATGGGACACTACGGACATAGAGCTCTACCTGGAATTTCTCCCACTGCTGCTGCAGCAAAATTGTTTTCAGCACTAGCATTGCTTGCACTTGCAGAAAGGATCTGTCCAGAGTCATTTACAACTTCCGCTTTGACATTCCCCGCTCCTTCCGTCATTTGAGAAAGCAACGGATTCTGGTTAACGTCTGAAGTGTTGATCACATACATTTGCTGTCCCTGGCCTAGCATTGATTTTGTGCTCTCACTGGAACTCAGATTTGTTGTGTTTATAACATACATCTGAGGCTGTCCTTGGTTCGTGTTCACCATGATTTTTGTAGCATTTTTATCATCATTCGAGATAGAAATGGTTGTGACACTGATGTCTGAACCAGTGAGATCAGTGGAGACTCCTTGTGGCTGTTGTAAGTACTCAGTTTTGATCAATGCTTGGTCCGGAGGTACTGATGACACTGATGATGAGTCTAACAAATTAATGGACTGGCCATCGAGAAGTGTGCTGATGGATGGATTTGATGAGCCGTTATCCAGACCTAAAAAATTTGGCAAGCTGTTCAGATTGAGCTCACTTGTATCACCGAGATTCGAAAGACTAGCAGAGGGAGTGCTGACAGACACCCCTGACACATGAAGAGATGGTAGCGATGAATGGGTGCCAGATGAAAACAACTGATGACTTTCATCACAAGCAACAGCTTGCTTTTCAACAGCAAACTCTGACACTGGGTAGTCAGAGCTACCTGCTGAAAAGTGTTCAAAGTTGTCATTCACACAGTTGCTTGGAACAGACAGTAAAATGTTATGGGGGTCTCCGATACTGTTACAAGATGCCGGTGTTGAGATGGCGGCAGATGCATGAGAATCTTCGAGAGAGTCAGAATGAAAGAGATTGTTAGCAATATCACTTGAGCCATCCACAGCAAAACTCTGACCGGTACTGTGATACTGACCAGTCGTAGAAACTAACGGATACGAACCAACTGTAAAACATTGCACATCACTTACGGCTACGGCTTGAGATTTTAAGGAAGATCTCACACTCTCATCAGTAGCGTCTGGTAAAGCTGATGAAAACACCAAGTCCTGTAAATTATCTGGAAGCTCCGAGTCGGAACCAATTACAGTAAAGAGGGAGGAGTCCAGGACCGAGCTGGAATCTTTTCCGTCCAAATTCAAAGCAGGACGCTCTAGAATACTGATCGTATTACCCTGGAAATCCATACCGTCTCCTTCAGTCAATACCTTATGAAGCTGAAAATCCTTCGATTTCAACCAGTTGAGATGACCGTCAGAACCCGAAACGACAATATCGAGCCCACCTTGAGAAAGTGCATTTGCATCTCCTTCTTCTTCTTCAGCTTCGGGGAGGTTGGCCACACAATCGTCTTCCTCCATCGCCATCGTCGACATTTCCTCACAACCGACGCCATCGTCGAGCGGAAGGGTGTCTGGTAACAAAGACATGGAGGAAACGAACGAATGAGTTTCGAGACATGGCACTTCCGAGGTAGATTCTTTGACACAGACATCGTGAATTCGATGTGTAGTTTGAAGACGATAAGTTTGAGCTTCATCTATGGGTTCATGGGCGCCGCCATGTTTTGGGCCATGAAGAGCCCCCGTTTTCGACATGGTTTAGGCCCCGCGGATCACCAATTCGGGGACGCCATTGTTGATGCAGAGCGTTCCGAAATGGTGTCGTGAGAAAATAGCCAGGTTTTTTTCCCGTTTTCTGGTGTTTCCGCGTAGGACAAGGTTCCCTGGGTAAAATTAATTGTGAGAGCTCAGTCACTTTTCTGTCAGCTTAAAAAACATCCTGCTTAGAAGCTGAGACCTCCACAAGTAGGTTATAATTTTCAATTATCTATTATGACCTCGGACAGGTCATGCATTTCTTTCCCAGAACACAAAAACCCAATACATGTACATGCGCTCAAGATCATGCTAACAGGGTCCGGCAAACTTACGAAAACACGTTTTACAATATGTACTTTGAATATTAGTTGTTTATGTATGAGAAAGGGCCCGAACCAAGATCATCTTGGTTGATTGCTGTGTCGTGTATGTGTGTGTGTGTGTGTGTGTGTGTGTGTGTGTATGTGTGGATGCGTGTGTGAGGTTTTTATTCTCTGTAATAATTTCATCGACGTAACACGCTCAGAGGTTATACTTGTTTCGGTTTGAACGCTACATAAAACTAATATTATTAAATAGGGTAGCATCATCATGTTCACAATTATCATCTTCATGCTCATCATTATCCCTCATCCTCTTCTTCTTCTTTTCCTTCTCCTTCTCCTTCTTCTTCTCCTTCTCCTTCTCCTTCTCCTTCTCCTTCTTCTTCCTCTTCCTCTTCCTATTCTTCTTCTTCTTCTTCTTCTTCTTCTTCTTCTTCTTCTTCTTCTTCTTCTTCTTCTTCTTCTTCTTCTTCTTCTTCTTC